CAGCCCACAGACACTCACTTTTTGCGTGGCCCAAGGGTGCAGGTCCCAGTCATGCACACCAGGCACAGCCCTGCCACCAACACAGAGGCTCAGCCCTGCTGCCAAGCCACCCCTCACCCTGTCACCATCCCCCACAAGCACACACCCCTGTGCCCCTGACATGGGGCCAGGATGAGCCACCTGCCCCCCACAGCACGTGCTCTTGGCACTGGTGACCCCTTTCCCTCCCTCCCACCGCTTGCACTTGCCTGGGAAGATGAAGATGAAGAAGGCGCTGATGCCCCCGATGAGCTCGATGACCTTGCCAATGTCAGGGACAAAGAGGGCAATGACAAGTGTGGTGGCCATCCAGGCCACTGTCAGTGCCACCCGGCTCCATCGCTCCCGTGCCTCGGGCACTGCCACCACCCTGCGCTTGGGGGGCACCCACATGTCCCGCACCACCGACCTGCGGGGCGTGCAGGGGAGGAGGAGAGGAGCGTGATGGCACCTGGAGGAGCCACGTCAGCCAGGGAGGGACACCCAGCTCCCTCCCCCTGCCCCTCACCTGCCCAGCAGCACCACGATGGGGTAGATGGTGATGATGGAGACACCGAAGAGCAGGCGGGCAACGATGACCACCGGGTCGTTCCCTGGGTAGGACATCAGGACGTCAGATGCCACGGCCTTGCCGAAGGTCAGGTAGCCATAGAGCCCTGCGGTGGGGAGGTGAGCGTGGGTGGCAGCAGCCCCGAGGGAGGGCCCAGGGGACCTTCAGAGCAAGGAGTGGGGTGGATGGGTCCAGCTGCTGGGGTTACCAGTGAGGGAGTAGATGAGCAGGCAGATGAGCATGGAGACCACGGAGACGGCGACCCAGTGGGCGAGGCGCTGGTTGCGCATGCTGCTGTAGATGGCCACACAGGCCTCGTGGCACTGTAAGGCACAGGGAGTGGTTGGGAGGGGGCTGTACATGGACAACCTACCCCCCTCTGGCTCCTGGGAATGCCTTCTCCCACTCTCCCGTGCCCCCATGGGCTTGTCTCCTGGCTTGCAGCCACCTCTGGTGACAGCCATGGGTCCCCTGCCTGCACCCTCCCTCCCATGGTGTCCCCATGGTGTGGGATGCTGCAGGAGGCTGCTGGTCCAGCAGCTGGAGACAGTGAGGCCCAGGTAACATACCTGGAAGCCAAAGCAGATGGTGGGGATGACACTGAAGATGGAAGTCCAGGAGGAGGCTCTGCGGCATGGGGGGGAGTAAGCACAGAGGGGAACTTGGTGGCACCAACTGTGAAGCCAGGATGCCACCATGGGCACCTAGCACCCAGTGACTTTGGAAGAAGGGGGAATTGCTGGGGCAAAAGCTGGGGCTGGGGGCTGCCCCTCCAGTGTTGTCCTCAGCTCAACTGCCAACCCAGAGCCACCCTTGCCTCCAGCCCTGCCACATGCCACTGCTGGTGACAAGGCAGGAGGGATGCTGGGCTGAGCCCCCCTACCTGCTGGGCTGGGGGGACTCAGGCAAGCCCAGGCTCTCTGCCTGCAGGTAGTATTTCAGGACGATGACCAGGGTGAGGTAGCAGGCAGCCAGTGTGCCCAGGATGCTGCCAGGGCAGGGGAGAGTGTCAACACACAGACCCCTGGCAGCCAGGAGGGAGGGGGGTCCCATGGCCCTGCAGGGACCTGGGAGGAGGTGGCCTCCCAGGGGTGGGCCACCACAGGGGTAGCCCAGAGGGTACCTGGAATACTTCTGGAAGCCGATCTCCCTGGGGACAGAGAGTGGGAAGATGACGAGGACACAGAGAGCCGAGAGGGTGAAGCGCTGGTCCACGTACCAGGGGGGTGGCAGGGGGGCCCCGCTCAGCGTCCCATTGGGGTACAGGGAGTCGCACACTGCGGGGGGCATTGGGGGGTCAGCTGTGTCCCAAGGGGGTTGGGAGCATCACACTGGGCCAGGGAGCCCCACATCCTCGGGGGGGTGTCCCAAGAAAAACCCCAGCCCACAGGGGACCACCTGCCCCTCAGCCCTGTGAGCTGTCGGCCCCCGCGCAAGCTGC